CCCCTTTTTTTTTTTTTTTTTTTTTTTTTTTTTTTTTTTGGTACTGAGAATTGAACCCAGGACCTCGTGTTTGCCAGGCAGGTGCAGCACCTCTGAGATAAATCCCTGGCTCTGTTGTTGTTTTTGAGACAGGGTCTTGAAATATAGTTCAGGCTGGCCTTGAACTTGCTATGGAGCCCAGGCTGGCCTCAAACTCACAGCCATCCTCCTGCCTCAGCCTCCTGAGTGCTGGGATTACAGGCACGCACCACCACACCCAGCTTGGTTTACTGCATCTTGTGTACCGAGCCCCTCCTAGTTCTTTATGTGAGGTTGACCATTTGCCCAGAATCCCCGCTAGGAGTGGGCGCCCAGGAGCTGCCCAGGCAACAAGACTCCTTCTCCTTTACATGAGTGTGAGTGTGGGAGGGGGCAGTATCGTCTCACACACATCAAGCATTCTGTCTCTCAACCACGCTCACGACTAAGAAGGAACACAGTTGTGGTGCCTTCCGGTCCCTCCCATCAAGGGGGACTGCCCCATCCGGACTGCCCTGGCCTGGTGCGGCAGCCTGGGGTTCCCGAGGTGTTTATTAAGGGAGCACACGAATGATGCCTCCCTGACTGCCTGTGAGACCAACACGAGCTGGGACCAAGCCTGAGCAGATTCAATGTTCAGGGCACAGCGCTGCCTCGCTCCCCAAACAGCCATTCGCTCCAAATTGTTTTCTTCCGACAGCGTCAGACAGAACAATTGCACCGCGACTGCAGGTGGATCGGGGCCCATACACGGCACCAGCTCAATTACCAGGTGAGGGCGCAGTCGTGAAGACGATGCAGTGTGGCGATCACAGCGTGGTCGAGGTGCTAAACCAACCAGTCCTGAGCCCTATTCCCAGCACGGCACCTGCCTTCCCCGTCCACCCAACGGAGGCTCAGGTTCAAAGGAGCTGGGCGTGGCAGCTGCCTTCCGCCCTCCCTGCCCGCAGCTCGCCTCCACTGCACCGAGTTGGAGACTCTGAGCTCTAGGAATGGGCTCTGGTCTGAGAACTCAGTGGCTTCCCACCCTGTCTGAGGCCCTGGAATCGCCCAGGGGAACACTTCAGGGCCACAGCACCGACCCCGGCTGTGAAGGGAAGCCAGGCTGGAGAAGCTATTTCAAGCCGTTATCTCTTCCTGGCCATGGTAACGAGTTAGAGTAAGCAGGCCGGAGGGGTTAAAGCCAGGTCATTCCCAGCCACAGCTGATGGAAACAGGCACAAGGCTTACTCTAGACCAACGTGAGTGGAAGTGTTTCGGGACTTTAGAGAAAGACTATTCTTCCTCTGTCCCCCTCTCCAAGACTCCTACTGGCTGACTTTATGGGATGACTGCTCAGATGTGAGGCCTGGAGCTGCTGCAGCCATTTCGCCACCACAAAGGAAGCAGCTTCAGGAAGATACAAAGACTGCAGCGGACAGAACCAAAAGAGGAAAGAAAAACAAAACAGAACAAAATAGGGCCCCTGATAGTACCACTGGCCTCTAAACAAAACAAACCCTCAAACTCATCTTACCTCTGGACTTTCCAGTAGCTGAAGCCAATTTGATTTGATCTTCCAACGATCCGCAACCTAAAGAATTACAGATACTTTTGTTTTATTTGCTGATACACACTGTGCCTTATGTCAAGCAGCGTCACCTCCACATACCCGGTTTCACAGCCCCGTGCGAGTCACTGGGTGCTTCTGTTTCTCACAGCCCCTCCCTGAGGCCCCCCAAGGCTTCTCCATCCAGCTCCTGTCCCCCTCCCTTTGTGCACTGCTCTCTCCTCTGCCCTGGCCGGCGCTGTCCTCAGCCCCATGGCCTCCCTGCCTCCCGCCTCCCTCCCGCTGCCTCCCACATGGCCGGGACTTGGGGCCTCCCCATTCCGACTCCCCCAGCCCCCACACCAGCTTCCTTTCCAGTGTTAGTTTCCTGAAATTGCCCGGGAGCCCCTCTGGCCCACCCCTGTCTATCTGGGCTGCTTCTGTTCTTTCCAGGTCTCAGTGGGATGTCGCTTCTTCTGGACAGCTTCCCAGTCTCTCCTCTCTGCTCCCGGGGGCTCTGTCCTCGCCCTGGCACAGCGGCCTTTTCCATTCACCCCACAGATACATGTTTTGTACCTACCGTGTGCCAGGCCCTGTGCAGTGGTGAGGAAAATGGATGTGCTTTCTCCTACTCAGCATTTACGTTCAGCCGGCTGTGGTGGTACGTGCCTGCCATCCCAGCACTCTGGGAGGCTGAGTCAGGAGGATTCCAAGTTGGAGTTCAGCCTGGGAGGTTTAGTAACTTAGAAGACCTGTCTCCAAATGAAGCAAAAAGTAAAATAAATTGAAATGGCCAGAGATGTAGTTCAGTATGAAGGCCCCAGGTTCAATCAGTAGTGCAAAAGAATTTTTACATTCTGATTAGGGAGACAATGAAAACAAATTAATGGGAAAATAAAAAACAGTTAAATTCCATAGAGAAGGCCAAAGAAAGGACTGGGATAGGAAAGAGGAGAGCAGGAAGGCTCTAGAGAGGGTGGCCAGGAAAGGCCTCCTCGAGGTGTCCCCATGACATGAAGAACTCTTCATTAGAGGAGTGAAGGGAACAGCGTTCTGGGCAGAGGGAACAGCCTCTGCTAAAGGGCCGAGGTCAGAGAACATGCTGCATTGAGGAACAGGCCTATGTGGGCTGGTACAGGAAGGTGGGAGAGAGGGCAGGGGTCGGACCACAGCCTCACTAGGACCACACAGACTTCTCAGAACGGGACAAAGAGCTTACAGCTCCTTTGAAAGCTGATGGTCAAATGTTCTAGGTAGAGGTGGCCAGGATCAGGCTCATGTCTTATGGTCAGGAGTGCTGTGAGAGGACTCGTGGGAGGTGCGGAGAGGGGTGACGAGGGCAGGGGCAGGAGGCGGCTCACGGTGCGCTGCTACGACAGAAAGGCCATGCAGAAGGGCGGCTGTGGGGGCCGTCACGGAAGTTCGGCAACCTTACTGTCCCGTCTGTGAGTGGGCAGGGCCTGCCAGGACCACACCCACAGCGAGACAATGTGGCCGACCTCATGGGGGCCAGGCTCACAAACAGGCTGCTGGCCGTGAGGCAGACAGCCTGCCACGAGCACCAGGCACACGCAAGTCATCATGCCAGGTTGGGGCCGCAGAGACCCTGGTAAGTTTCTCTCTTGACTCGGGACTGACCCTTGAAGGATCGATAAAAGGCATAAATTGTGTTTTAAAACTGTTTCTGGAAGCATTGCTGGGCGCGGAGGTGCACGCCTGTAATCCCAGCAATCCCAGCACCCTTGGGAGGCTGAGGCAGGAGGGTCCCAAGTGTGAGGCCAGGCTGGGCTCTTTAGTGAGTTCAAGGCTAGCCTGGACTACCGAGCAAAATCTTGAAGAGAGAAAAGCTGGGGGTGGGGAGTGGTAAGAGAGAAAGAGAGGAGAGGGCGAGAGAGAAAAAGGGAAGGAAGAAAAACCTTCTGAAAACACCAGGCTTAGTTTTTCTCTATCCCCTTCTGCAAGGCCCCTGCCCCAAACTCAAATTCAGTCTCCCGCGGGAGAGGTACAGTTCAAAATCAGACCAGCAGATGGCGCTAGAGGCTAAGAGAAGCCCCCCCCTCCCCCCCGCCCTCCTCCCGTCGGTTCTTGGCGCTGGTTCCCTCTCTGGGTTTGCAGAACCAATTCAGTTCCCAGGCTGCCACAGCAGCGGGGTCCTAAGGCCGAGCCCTCCCCCGACTCCTGGGGACACAGACCCATTTGGGGGAAGTAGAAAGCCCAAGTATCTGCTGGGATCCTTGCGTGGGTCCCTCCACCGCAGAGACCTCCCGACGTCCAGTCCTTGCCCTCCCTTCCAGGAAATCACTGTACAAGTAGGGCAGAGGGTCCCGAGTGAGAGAGAGGTTTTCCTCAGAAGAGCCACTTCATCTGTGAACAAGGCACTATGAAGCCTCCCACAACAGCCTGTGACCTCCCTGTCCATCCTGTGTAAAATATGAAATAGGAGTTTTAATTACCAAGCTTGGAAGGCAGCCGACATGTTTAATATTTAATGTCTGCAGTGCTCGTGCCCCAGGCGAGCCGGCACTGACAACATCGGGGTTTCCCTCGGGTTGGCTCTGCATGTGCCTGGGCAGTGGTCAGGCAGCCCCCTTCCCCAGCACCTGGGATCCTCCTGCAGCCTGGCCTGGGCCTGGACTTGCCCCGGGCTTGCCACCCCCTGAGGGACTCCCGCCTGTGTCCCCAGCAGGAGGAGGACGGGAGGGCTCAGGGCTTGAGACAGGCAACTGAGCCAGGTTCCTGGCAGAGGGGCCTGGTCGCACGCAGGCAGCCTGAGGAGGTGGAAACAGGAGGCATCAGACAGACGGGCCTGGGTTTGAACCCAATTTCCGAAGAGTCACTCGGCCTCTCTGGGTGTCACTTTTGTTATCCATAAAGTGGAGAATGTATTTCCTGTATTAGGGGTTGTTAATAATAACAGATCACCATTTTTGAGGTTTCGTGTGTGTCTGGAACGCTAAGCTAAGTGTCTAAGCACTTCACGTGTTCTGTGTCTTTGTCACTGATGGCAGCCCTTTGAAGTGGTTCAGCTGGGACTCGGATCCAGAGCATTTTTAGTTCCGGAGCACATGACTGTGATCCCTTATATGCAAAGCGCCTGATGAAGCCAGAGACATGAGCGTGAAGAGGACATCGCCTTCTAGACCCAGGCCCTAGTTTGTCCTGTCCCACAGGGGCCCCTCCTGCCTCACAGATGACCAAAAGATTACTATTGAGGGCTCAAGTCAGCGGCTTGAACTGAATTTCCTGCACTGCTGTTGTCTGCCCCACACTTGCACTCCCTGGAGCGCTCCCAAGCTGCCTTTGATTGGTTGACAGACAGCTGTGGACTGGGTGAACTCACTGGCGCCACCTTGGGTCTGATTATGCAACCGTTTGTCTTCAGGCTCATGCACCACTCCTTGGGCCAAATTAGTGTCTCAATTCACCTTCCTCACAGCACAGCGCATGATGACAGCAGGTGATGGGTGTGAGAAGGTGCAGCCAGCAGCTGAAGCCGCCTATCTTGAAAGGTAATCGTGCAGGCCGGGTGTGGTGGCTCACGCCTGTAACCCTAGCACTTGGGAGGCTGAGGCAGGAGGATCGCTGTGAGTTCGAGACCAGCCTGGGCTACATAGTGAGTTCCAGGTCAGTCTCAATTACATAGTGAGACCCTGTCTCAAACAAACAAACAAACAAAAAAAAAAAAAAAAAAAAAAAAAAAAAAAAAAAAAAAGAAAGAAAAGAAAGAAAGAAAAAGAAAGGTAATCGTGCATGGACAGAAGAGGCTTCCCCGATTCCTCTGCACCGGGAGAGACTGTTAGCACAGAGAGGGCGTGAGCCGTGACAATGAGCTCCGTTTTATAACCCTGAGATGGGCACACGTGCTGAAGAGCGGGAGACACAGGGAGCCCTGGTCCTTGTGGAAAGCACGTACCCCAAGCCCCGGCGATTCCGCTTCCGGGCCTGTAGCTAGAGCAGCTTTCGCAGGTGTGCAGACACCCGCCTGAGAACATTCCTGGAAGCATGAACTTGTCGTGGCGAAAGGGTGGAAATACCAAAATCGCCCCTGTGAAGGAAAGCAGGAGCCTCACGCGGCGCGGCGTACCGGAATGACGGAATGACGGGATGACGGGATGACGGGACTCGGCGCGGCAGGTCGGTGGCGTGAGCTGGCCGAGGGAGGAAATATAACGGCCAGGAAGACTCCCAGCAAGGGTACTTAGAGAAGCCGC